CAAAATGAAAAGCGTCGCGCAATAAAAGCACTTTTTCATTCGTAAAGTCAGGGGGTGTTCCGCAGCTGCTGATCCAACCAGCTGTGCGACTTTGCCACAGATATCAGTGACGCATGGACCGAAAGAATTCAGTGATCGTTTTGAGCCAATGACAGGTGGGGTGCAGTAGAATCGAGATTGTTTGTTGCACTGTTCCCCGCCTAACGTGCTATGAGGTAGTTCTTGCTGGGGACTCCACTGCTCTTCAATCGTCTGGAGACAATAATTGTGCGAACAACGTCGCTCTGATTACTAATTTCGTAGATACTTATAGTTGATCACGGAAAGATGAACATCTGCTCATTGAATATAAATTAGAGTATGCAACTTAGCTCTCCTGCATTATTATACGTTCAGTATGAGTAGTTATTAAGCCAAAAGGGAATTGAAGGTTTGATAATGACTCAGCGTAACCCATAATGCAATTTGTCGAAGTGAGAAACTGCTGTCCTTCCGTAATACGGTCACCATGTTTCTCCTTTGGTGCCTGCGTGTCGTCCTGTACCTTTAAATCCAATCCAGACGAAATGGTTGGGCGGAGAAATATGCAGCAGTACCAATCGTTGTCGTTATGTACCATGTAGCTTAGAGTTACAGTGCGTGCTATGTCGTTATGCAAACCGTAAAGACCGTTATTTCAAAACAGCCTAAGAACGGCGTAGAAAAGCGCTGGTTCTCGACGGATGATGGCAATTGAATTACATGGGTATATAAGAAATATTTTTAAAACGAGAACATATCCCATGAGTTTAGGGAATGAGGCTGTCTTATCGTGACAGGTTGATTGAGCATAAGCCATTTTGCCAACCGGTGGGATTCTTGTAGGGAAATCAAAGCATAATAGGCATAAACTAAGAAGCAACGATGTAACATGAATCAACAAATTCAGTGCAGTTTTGTTTTAGGTGGAGCTGCTCCTTCGATCATTCTCTAGCCACTGTTTTATGGAAATAATGTTGAAAATCTGAGGGAGCATGAGATGCTACAAACCGAATACGCGATGCAGCTGGAAACGGGGGGTGAATAATTACAACAACATACAGTGATACTTGTTAACATTTTTGTTATATGTCTTGCTTCTCTGTACGAAAGTAGATACAAATTCAAATTTTTAGGTGTGTACTCGCACCGAACAAGATGTATTGAAGCAAGGAGGTCAAAAGGCAGCTGCTTTGTTGCGCAACTTGCTTCCCACGGAGCACTTGACCGAAGATATCATGGCCGAGGTCATGAATTCTACTTATCGACCGTCCAAAGGTTTGGAAGCAGCTGTCACGCAAAAGAATAAGCTTTTAGAATACCAGGAAAATCGGTATGTACATATAATATATAATCCGGGCAACGTTTTCTTCACAATGCAAAACACAGATGACTACATGTATGCAGTTCTGATGCGTGACCGGTAGTCAATTATAGTTTTTAGCAGGATCTGCAGCTCTGCAGGGACAACCAGTGTTTTCTTAACTTTTTTTGGAACTTGAAACTTTGATGATTCGCCACATCCTGACATTTGCAAATGTTCTTTATACGTCTTTGTCCTATTTTCCAAAAGTTACCTGCGCTGAATTTAGATTGGGAATACATTGACAGAAGTAATTCTCCATCCAGAGAGATGATGGCACGATGAACAATCTTTGGTAAAGTTATTAATCCTGATTTTTGAGGCGTTGGCGGTCGTGGTTACCCAGGTTCTCTGAAGATCGTTATATATTTCACTGCATCTAGTCAGGAAACATCATCCTAATTTTCCATCCATTGTTATCCTAGGTTCAGAGATTAATGGCTTAAAATCAGTTCAGTGCATTCGTTAAGGGGTTTGCGGCTACAGTGATTGCCAAATCGTTCCATCCTGGTTTGAGGCCATAATTTGTTTGCTTCATTAAGTGGCTATGGCAGATCTTCTCGGCTAGAGAAAATCGCGCTCTTCCCGCGGTCACCTGATGTACAATCCATTGTTTTGTCCGTTGTCCATTTTTCGCGACTTACCCCTCATGGCTGAGCTATTATATGCAGGTTTCAATGGGCAATGACCAAATCCTGACACCATTCGTTTAGTATTTATCGTTTGTGAAGGTGGGCATCTGCAAAGTTTTTGCCTTTTACTGTTCATGGGAAAGTTATCCTAATACATTGTGCAGTCATATGTTGCTAGAGAAGATTAGAAAATTAGTCTTCTAGATTAATATACCATCTTTATAGCAAACTCTTTTTTCCAGCTGAATTTAAATTACTGTAACATGTTTTATGTATCCCGTCTTTGGAGCGACGGTTTGTATCTTTTCACCTGTAGACTGTGATGTACTTCTTGTTCCTCTTTTACTTGCATGCTCTCTTTATCATGCTTCACCGTTTCAGTCAGCTACCGCACCGGTCAAACTGCATGTGGTCAAATCATCGCTAATTGCTTACAGTTTCATGTCATTCTTTACGTCATCGCGTCACCGTTTCTTTGATTTTTCTATTTTTTTCTTCCCTGACAGTATCAGTGTTTGGACTACATTTCTGATTTATCGTTACATCTTATTCTACTTAAAAATTCAGCGAGCCTGCTTTCTGTGATGAAGGTACTCCGCAGGTGGTTGTTTTTACTGACATCACAAGTCCATATGAGCATTGGCATTTCCATATCGTTGGCTGTTTCTTATGTTTCTTCAAGTTAGTTGACCATTTTTTCCCGGGTTTGGTATCGTTTGTGCATATTTTCCTATCGTCCTGTATCGCAGAGTACACCGCCCACTCACTCTAATTCAACCACGCTTTTTTTCGGCTGATATTTTTATTCACGGTCGATTTCTCCATTGTTTTGAATTATATATATATGAGTTCGGCTTCACAGAATATCTTAATACTTTTATTTGCCGTTTCCACTTAGAGGGTCGAATGACTCATCATGCAAATCATCGATGCATTACATATGCTAAAATACGATGAAAATATTATGCTTATTTTTCACAGATTATCGCTGAAGTTCTTTTCGAAAGTTGGAGAAGTTATTTTAGATAAACTGTTCATGATCTTTTAGCTGGGCAAAGTAGTGAATAACCATGTGCGTTGTCTTTTTTGTTACGCACTCAAACGGCATCACCCGCATCATACCCCATAATAAGACTATCCTTTGATTTGTATTTACTGAATATGAAAAGTTTTTTTACGGTGAAGAAGAACACCGAACCGTTATCAGAATTTTTTACTTATTTTCGATGTGTTCAAAAGTTTGTTGTTTTTAGTATAACCCGCACTTCGGTTTACGATGACCAGGTGGATTTTTTTAAACTGGACAATTGTGCATGGTTGACTCCGGAGGAAAAGAAGCGACTTGAAGAACAATACCGAAAGTTGC